ATTGTACAGTTTACCATAAAAAAATAACATATGAATATTTACGCATCCAAAACGGTCGCCTTCAAGTGATTCTTGATATGGTCGAAGCTCTTGGGTAGGTTGCGTAATATTCCTAACTTGGAGGTGGAATCGAAGCCGAATATCATCACGTTGTAGGTGTCTTCTCTTCCTGGTGGAGTCGGTAACCGTTCCACCGACTTACGAAAACCTACGTGGTAACCGAACCATGTCGTATCCGAATTACTGCAAAAAATAATATCATTAAACAGTTTTATTTAGTATCGTTACTTACATACTAAATTAACTAAAAACTGCGCGTTACTCACGTGAATATACTGAGAAAAGCTCTACTAGATGGATATACTGAAAAGTGCGAGAAGCCATCGAGATTAGCCGACGTCCGTGTTTCAACAGGGATGGTGGCTGGGCACTGCCACCCGCGTGGAAGCCGAGCTTGGAGTCTACGTCGATCCACAGCGTCTCCAGTCTGGAGTGTGACACAGTAAGCGTTATACGCAACACTGACTTTGTGCCGAACCCGAAATCGAAACCACTACCTGGTGAACGTACCGTGCGCTTTAACATCGGCCAACGCGCCGCCGGAGTTGGAAGGAAACGCTCTTAGTCTCCGACAGAGGGCGCGTTGGGCTAGCAGCGCAAGTAGCAACACCGAGGCGAGCGCCAACGCCAGCCAGTGAGCTGCGCGACGTCGCCGCGACCGCGCACGCTGCTCATGAGGAAGAGCCCCTCTGTGGTTCGAAACTAGTAGAGCTTTTCTCAGTATATTCATGTGAGTAACCCGCAGTTTTTGAAGAAAGAAAAAAAACATTATAACACAGATACAAAAAAAAAATACAAGTTTATAAAAGAAAATAACAAATAAATACACCTATTTATATAGATACTAGCTGACCCGGCGAACTTCGTATCGCATAATACTCTAACCTACTCTATCCTATTCTACTGTACCCTAATGAAAAAGAGACTATCCTATGTCTCAAGTTGGATCGAACTGCACATGGTGTGCGAATTTTATTATAATCGGTTAAAGGGTTTAGGAGTCCATTGAGGACAAACATTGTGACACGAGATTTACATAAATTAAGATAGAAAAAAAAAACACAAAGATAACGACAGAGTATAACAGTGTTTAGTTAATGTTATTTAGTTTGACCCATTCGTTTGTTAGTTTGGGTCAAATTTAGAAATTGTGAAATTGGAATTTTATCCCTTTCCTGACGACAGATCGAGCTGATATTTAATACACATTTTTAATGACCACACGATATTACGTATCTACTAGCGGACTCAACAGACGTTGTCCTGCATATCCACTTGAATGTATAAACAAAAATTCATTCAAATTACTTCAGCTGTTTAGGATAAATAACCTAAACATCGACTTGGTTGAAGAGTTGGTTTGTTTGTTTGTTTGAACGCGCTAATCCCAGGAACTAATAGTTCGATTTGAAAAAATCTTTTTGTGTTGTGTAGTCAATTTATAGGGGAAGTTTTTTTTTAAGGGGGAAAATCATCGAATGCCTTCTCCCGCCCGGGTGAGCCCGGTAACTTAAGTTCTCCGCGGCTCCGTATCGGCATCAGCCCTATTGGGCCCCATCCGTGGTGGTCTGATGGCTCTTTGGCGGTGAGCTATCCATGCTCGCCCTGACGCAGGTCCTCACCGGACATGGCAGTTTCGGGAGGTACCTGTGTCTGATGGGGCGGGAGGAAACGCCCGGGTGTCATCACTGCGAGGACCGCCCTGAGGACACGGTGGAACACACGGTGGGAGAATGCCCTTCGTGGGCTGAGCACCGCCGTGTCCTCAGGGAAGTGATCGGCGATGGCGACCTCTCGCGTCCGGGCCTAGTGCAGGCCATGATGCGGAGCGAGGGGGATTGGGATGCCGTCTCCTCCTTTTGCGAAGCAGTCATGCTAGCTAAGGAGGAGGCGGGACGCGTGAGGCAGCGAAGCGCTGCCTCCTCGCAACCCAGCCATCGCGAAGGACACACCGGGCGTCGGGGATCGCGGGACGATCTCCGGCCACCGTAAGCGCGGGCCTGCGGACGGCGAGCATGGGTGGCTCCCCGTCCGACCAGAAACAGACCCGAGCGTACGGCGCGTCGCGTTCCGCGCGCGCCTCAAAGAGCCATCAGACCACCACAGATGGGGCCCAATAGGGCCGATGCCGATTCGGAGTCGCGGAGAACCTAACGGGTAACCGGGGCTCCGGCTCGACGTGCAGGAGAAGGAACGGGGTGGTTTTTAGTCAGTAAGAGTCTGACACTCCCTCCCGCCTCACCCAGGCGGGGGCAGTCATTCGATGATTTTCCCCCCTTAAAAAAAAAAAAAAAATCCATGCTCGCCGTCCGCAGGCCCGTGCTTACGGTGGCCGGCACGCTATGCTCAATAGACACCCGAGCAGAGCGGGTGAAATACGGAAGTAGCTAGTATATTAATATTATTATTTTGTTTATTAGAAATTGCTTTTTTTTTATTGTCTATTAAAAATTCTATTATTATCGTATTATTATTTTGTTATATTGTGATGTTTTCTGTTCTGATCTGTATTCTTGTAAGTTTATTATTAGTATTTTGTTTACTTATATTATGTATTTTTATTTTTTTATTTTCTTTGTTTTCTGTGCGTGTAATTGCCAAATAAATGTTTTTTCTTTCTTTCTTTCTTTCTTTCTATATAATATAAAGTTTATATACACTTACCTATCGCCACGTTTGCCCGTACACTTGATTTTAATATGATCGCTCTTGTCAAGAGTAAAGAAGCCATCATTTTGTATTGTCCTTACAGGTCCCAGGTGGTATTTCCAGTCAGACTGATACAATATATCTTGGTATGTGCAGACTAAATCCGTTGTCGTCTCTAGTATATCTTTTACTACCCAACATTTAGATATCTGAAAATTTTAAAACATAATTAGCTGGATGGTAAGAACATCTATGTATTTTTATATTATTTTTAATAATATATAGAGCTGAAGAGTTCTTGAAAGTTTGGTGTGTATGTGTGTGTGTGTGTGTGTGAGGTTAAGATAGGACATAGAATAAAATAAAATTAAGAGACGAAATTTTCAAGTGTGGGAGTGCCATGCTTCGGCACGAGTGGGCCGGCTCGACCGGAGTGATTCCACCACGGCCTCACAGAAAACCGACGCAAAATAACGCTTGCGTTGTGTTTCCTCGTGTGAGTGAGTTTACCGGAGGTCCAATTACCCCTCCCCAATGTCCCCGAGTCCCCAATAATCTTCAAATTGTACTCACGTAGCATTTCACCCAATCGGGATCGTTACATATAATACTAGGACGTTTCTTCCTCTCAAAGGCCACCAACTCTTCGGCAAACGGATCCAATTGTGGCACATTGCAGCCTTGCCCCTTGTCTTGTTGCAGAGATTCTTTTATCTGACTTTCTATCAATCTGATGAAAAATGTTACTAATTTAAAAAATACTTTAAATGTAATAGCGGCATTGAAGCAAAATACAATGAAACATGAGTTGGAAAATCAGCCAGCAGGTCAAAATACTCTAATCTATATTTCTTATTCCATTTCCGATTCTATATCGAAACGATAAAGTTGTAAATTGAATAAAAGAGTTGTTGTGTATCTGTGGTATACTCCATGGTCATAGTATAGTCTTTTTTTTTTATTTCATGTGTCATAGTATAGTCTATGGTGAGAGATTATCTATGTGCGTGGCGGAGCCCGCGTTTTTTTGGAAAAAGAATTGTAGACGAATAAATGTGTGCGTCGATAGCTTTCTCTCTTTTTATTTATATTTCGTTATAACATACTTAACAAGAATTTGACAGAATAGAGAACGTTAATCTGCTGGTTCTGGCTCTGTTCGTGTAAACTCGTAAGTGTTCGGGTGTAAAATGTTGTTTGAGTAAGTGAAGTGTATACCTAATACCTTGCATTTGCAACAAAATCATGAATTAGGTACCTAAATAATTGCATAGTTTTTGAAAATGTTCGTTGCATTGTTTGGCTCTATGTTTGGTTCGGTTCGTAGTTCAGTTCGACCAACGACCAAAAAGGCTAATGTTCGATGTTCTGTTACAATTGAACGCACAGGTTTATCACTACTGGATGGTTGGTGCGGTGGCTAGGTTGCCGTGCAACGTGAAGCGGATTCGATTCCCGCACGAAGCAACTCTTTGTGTGATTCGCGGGTTGTTGTCCCGGTTCTGGAGTGACGTGAAGTGGAAGCCACCTACGTCACTTTTGAGTATAAAACGTACACAAAAGTGACGTCACCTGATATTTCAAATCAATGCATCGTCGAAAGTATTGGTGTCCGTAAGAAAATAAAAAATATGTGTCTAATGATTTTAAATCACAGAAAACCGACGTGAAGCAACGCTTGCGTTGTGTTTCGTCGTGTGAGTGAGGTTACCGGAGGCCCAATGACCTTCCCCTTCCTCAATCTCCCCAATCCCGATCCTCAAACTACTAATCCCCAAAAAGCCGGTGACGCACTTGTAACGTCTCTGGTGTTCCATGTGTCCATGGCCGACGCCGATTGCTTACCATGAGGTGATCCGTCTGCTCGTTTACTGGCTTATTTCATAAAAAAAAACGTACCTATGTCGCATAAATGGTAATTTAGTTATTTTTAAAATGAGAGTATTTTCTTGTAAAAGGAATCATTGATGTTAAAGTGTGTTCGATAAAATTAAAAAAAATGCAAGTGTCTCCGTCTCTTTTGCTCCCAAGCGTATGTATATTTAATTTTAATTTATGTTAATGTTATTGCATTGTACAATCAATTATATATATTATTATACCATATTAGCTTAACAATAAATATACAGTGTTATTGTGTAATACGGTATTCGACAACTAGTCAAATTCAATACTTTTTTCGAACTGTCAAAAATGACAGTTTTCTATGAATTTTGTACGAGATTGTGAATTGTGACGTCACGTTTGTTTAGAGTCAAACAGCGTTCTTATGTCTTAAAAATTTGCCGGGCAAATACTAAAATTAAGTTGGTCATAAAATCAATTAATGAAAGTGCGATTATTTTTTAACATCTTATTGTATTGAACAGTCGAAATAATTTAACGAAATACATACATACTTTTTTGACATTTCAAAAAAGACATCCCTATTGTTGCTTAGCGGCAAATGTATATGAGGCTGTAAAGCTTAAAGTATCAAGCAATAAACAAAAAAAAATCATGCAAACTACAAAAAGAGAAAAAAAAAGCCATGCACACTTACTGAATTCTACTTACTCAATTATAGATTCTCTGAAAAGAAAAAAAACAGACAATAAGGGGAAGAAACCATGCTTCAATTCAAACTACATACATATTTTAAATTCGGGCACAAGAGCAAACAAACAGACAGTTAAGTACAAAAGTTGTTTAGTAGTCTCTGATACATAATAATCAGATTTTGGAGTCAGCAGCAGCTCAAGCTACGCTAATTTGTTTCATTGTAATTTCGACTTTATAACAAAAAAAAAAGTAAAAAATGCAATACAGGTATTTGACACAAAAGAGTAGATTGATCCGCTGGTGTCTGTACTTACTAGGAGATAGTTTCAGGTATTATTTACTTTAAACTAGGGCCACTACTTATTGGGAGAGCTTCCAAAACTACTTAAGGCGCTAAATTGTAGCTTAGGGCCTAGTGGTAATAGAATATTTGCTAATATGGAGCCGCTGAAGGTCGCTTTCAACCGACCTATACCGTAAAGTGGGGTGAATAGGGATCGAGAGGTGAATAGGAACATAAGATGTTAGACTATACGATTTTTATTTTTTTGTTTTAGTAAGTAATTAGTATAAAGCGTGTCTTTGCATTGTTCTTACATATGCGTACAGTATTGAAATATGTATCAGGGACATTGTAGAACATACTTTTTTAAAAAGAGTAACGAATGGAGTTTCTTGCTCGTTCTTCTCCATTCGAATCTACATTTTGGAATGGGCTTTGACTTTGACTTTGAAGAGAGATGAATAGATATGAGGAAATTATTTATAGTATCGATTCACCCCTCTTCCTGTCCATTTTCGCCGCTCAAACCCTATTCACCCCATTTTACCGGGAGTCTTTGGGGGTGGCCTATGTTCAGCAGTGGATGTCTTGTGGCTTATACAATATTCCTCAGTCATCCTACAATATTTAAGCCTCTAACTGCCGGCAAAAAGTGTTAAAGTGTAAAGTGGGTAATCATTGTCCGACGCGGCAGACGCGGCACCCAATGTGTTAAGCTGATTGGACTATATAACCTTAAGCCACTAGTACCATCTCGTCAGCGCCAAATCGAAAATCCTCATTAATATAAATGACAATCTTATTTCTCACTGTTTAGTAGCTTTTTCACATTTCTTACTTCCAAACTTAAGTAAAAGAGAATCGTTTCATGCATTTCGTTTTCTAAAAATAACAAGTATTTCAAATGTAGGCAAAATATACTTAACTATTTAGTACCTAAGTACCTATGCATTGTAAACTAATTTCTAACCTTCGAAAAGTATTATTAAAGTTCAGTTTTCAAAATTACGGTACCTGACGTGGTAGTTTGTCCAAAGTGACACATTTTAATTTTAAAGCGATTACATTGTTGAATATTCATTCAATGTGAACATTCGCATCAAGATTTATACTTTTATCGAGCTGCTCGGCTCCTTGTACCGACAAGTAATATGTACGTTATTCGATACGTCACGCGATCGACATGTATCGTATTTGAAATGTAACGCGTTCGACATGTAACGCGTTCGACATGTATCGTATTCGATACGTCACGCGATCGACATGTATCGTATTCGATATGTAATGCGTTCGACATGTATCGTATTTGAAATGTAACGCGTTCGACATGTATTGTATTCGACATGTAACTCGTTTGACATGTATTGTATTCGATACGTAACGCGTTCGACATGAATTCATCGTATTTGAAATGTACCGCGTTCGACATGTACCGCTTTCGGCATGTAACGTGTTTACATCGAGCGGATATTCAACGTCAGTCGCCAGCTTAATATGTGTAAAATTATTAAATCATTTTGGACAAACTGTCCTTCGGGTCAGTTTTCAGTTCACAATAGACTTTTTTTGTCCTACAATCAAATAATGCAATCTCCAATTCATTATAAATTACAGGAATAAGTGATTAATGCGAATTAATTAATGAAAAAATAAGAAAATTAACAATCCCTCACCTGTGACCTTTTAGTACAATTTTACTTGGAACCACAACCGAGATAGGATCAGCGGGCTTTTCTGTTCTACATAAAGATGAAAAAAAAAAATAAAAAAATCAACCAACATGATTGCAAGCTGTTAATGATGACTAAGACAAGCTTATGTTAGGAAACCTTCACCTTTTGACCATGGGGTAAGCAGTGTACTAACGATTAGATTCAAAGACTTGGTTGAATTGGGATGATGACACCCATGAAAAAGAAAAATCTAATTAGTCCATGAAAAAATATTAGATACGTATTTTTTGTCGTATAATAAAATAATACTTAGATAAAACGAATCAAAGTTTAGAAGTGGAGGCTAAAACGTCATTTCTACGTATAAAATGCACATAGAAGTGACGTCACGCGACATTTCCAGTCAATATTTCGTCGAAAGTATTCGTTTCTGTAAGAAAATTAAAAATACGTGTCTAATGATTTAAAATAATCTACCAGACGGACATTAAAATAAAAATTAGGCATTTACCCTGTTAGAAAAATTAAATCAATATACAAATAGGTTTTTTTATGTTATAGTGCGGCAAACGAGCTTACGGATCACCTGATGGTAAGCATTCGACGTCGCTCGTTGTCATTTGCAACGCCAGAGTTACCAAGTGCGTTGCTAGCCTTTTGGGGGTTAGGACTTGAGAATGATATGACGCACTGGTTCACTAGTTGTGTTGGGGGGTTGAGCCTCCGTAAACCTCACTCACACGGCTGCCCTGAACTTTTAATACTGAATTTAAAACTGATTTTGCGGATATCAGAACAGAAACGTGGTACACTTTTTTTTTATAGCATAACCCGTTAAACGAGCAGACGGATCACCTGATGGTAAGCAATCGGCGCCGCCCATGGACACCCAAAACACCAAGGCGTTACAAGTGCGTTACCGGCCTTTTGGGAATTGGGAATTTGAGGATTGTGGAGGATTCAGGGATTCGGGAGACTAGGGAGGGGGGTAAAAAAGGTAAAAGGTTATAGTTATCGCAAGGTGAAAAAAAATGAAACAAATAAAAACATGTATATTTTTGGACAAAGGCACATTGAATTAAACTTACCAATTCAACAAAGCTTGTCTTAGTCATACCATCACCATAAGAACAAAAAAAAAAACAGAACATCCAGACTGCCGAAATCAAAATAATCAAACAAAAAATTCTGGGATATTGATAGTTATTCTAACGATATACGAACTAATTTTGATTACCACATCAACACAATACATATTTAATTGTATTTTTAGTACTAAATATATGCGTCCTGCATTGGTCTTGATGGTACGTGGCCTTCATTCAATATCCTCTATGTTCTACCGGCCAAGAGTTCACTATAAGATGTATGGCTTACCCACTAACTCTTCAGCTAGCCAAGCGACTTTATGTCTCGCAAAGAAACGAGAGTTTAATTGTTTTCGATTTTATTACATAGCCAATGTAGTTGAAATAGGGTAGTTTCCTAAATATTTTAATGTCCGTCTGGTAGATTATTTAAAAAAAATAGATACGTATATTTTCTTTTCTCACAAAATTAAATGCTTTTCACGATATACCTATTGATTTGAAATGTCGTCTGACGTCACAGCATGCTACAAAATGTAGCACGTTGTGACGTAACGACCTCCCACTCCTAAACTTAGCTCCATTTTATTTAAGTATTGTAACTTTATACGAGAATTTAAAAAAATATGTGTCTCATATTTTTCACTATCTAACTGACGGACAAATTAGATTTTTAACTTTATTACCCTGGCAACTACCTTATTCTATTGAATTATTTTGCCAGTTTGGGATTATTTTGCTATACTAGGTTCTGTTTCTGGGTTTCTCTAAACAGTTATTGGACAAGAAATTTTGTTTTCGGAAGTCGGTGGCAATGCAATAAGAGCGAACATATCCAAACCAGCCAATCACCAATGGCAAAACGTTTCTTCGACTGAAAGATTTATACCAAAATTGAATTTCGACCTTGGTATAGTTTGAACCAAAAATAATTTAACAACTTAACTGTCCCCATAAAATAAAATTCACAAGTAGGTACACACGGCCACACATCAATCTATACAAAACCAGTTTATCCTGGTGTCGCGTCGCATCATCTTTCCGCACATGTAACGTTCAGTTTATACTGGTTATGTAAAGCTCGATGTGTAGCTCTAGTCCCTCAAGTCCATTACTTTTTTCAAAGGGATTTTGCCATATGTTCATCTAGTTTTAATATAATTTAGAGCCAAAAAATGCAGCAGAAAAGTGCCTGTGACTCAGGAACTTAATTCAAAAATTCATTGTCAGTCGTATACGACTCCTTGGACAGTTAAATTGGTAAGTGATTTTTTTATATTTTTTCCATAAAACGTTGCCCCACACTAGGATTGTCTCCTAGGTCGTGTACAAGTTCACATACACATGACACAAAGACCCGGAACAACAATCTATGGATCACACAAAGAGTTGCTCCGTGCGGCCAGTTGCCAAACACTGCACATACCGTGCAGTCAATTACAGTGAAACCTGGTTAAGTGAGATATCAAGGGACCTGCAATGTCGTTTCACTTATAGAGGTATTCCACTTACCCAGTGTCTCAGATATACAGGTATAAATAAATATCTGTCTCTTTTACAGAGGGTTCCATTAATTGAGGTGGACTTGGTATTACGTGTGGAATTTGTGGGTAGAATAAGAATGAGTACAAACAATGTTATCTCAGTTACAGAGGTTTATGCATATAAAATTTACTCGCTGTCTCAGTTATAGAGGTAACTATGATGATAAATCGAAAGAACAAATCCCAAATATAGAGGTTTACCTCGTCCCACGAACAGAGGTAAATCAGTGCCAAAGTGTTGGGACCTCAGCATGAGTTCCAGTTATGGAGGTTTCTCACTTATCCAGGTCCCACTTAACCAAGTTTCACTGTATAACATGCTTTCAATTATCACAATTTCACAAATTATACAGAAGTTAGAAAATAATTCCAACCAAACTCGATTTAAATTTCAGCTAAAATCTTTTTAGTCGTACACAAAAATGAAAGAAAACATAGCTGCAACAGGAATTGCACAAAAATTGTAACATGCATTGAAGTGATTTATGCATTAAGTTATTAGTGTAAAAGTAAATGAAAATATTATTAGAGACTTAGAAAATATATACATATATATATATATATATATAACATGTAACGTAATTAACGCACACCCTCAAACACCCCAATTAGAATATTATGTTATAATCATAATACATCAACTAAATTTTTAATTTAACATGTACATATATGCATCCTTACTGGTCTTGTCATAAGGTTTATTTTTCTTTATTTTGTATTGAATGATAGAATTTGTATGAATACAAATAAAACTGCGATTTTAAAAGTCTTATTGCTTTAACTTACGGTCTATTTCGATTTGTTTTAACAATACAGGGTTAATATGACGATAATTTCCGTAGTTTTATTTATTATTGGGATAAAAAATTACCTATACTAAAAATTATATAGAGGTAAATCGATTCAGTTAGCGATTCTGAACAAACTATTTTCAGGATGTGCGTTATTTAAGTTACATGTTGTATATTTGACGGGCCGACAGTTGGCCACAATTTTTTTTTGGCTATTATTTTTTTAGATTTAACAATTTTAAAATATCTTGCAAAAAATATATTTATTATACCTTCCTAAGTCAAGAGATTCATAATCAGACACATAAAAATTGCAAAACTATATTAAAATAAGTACAATGAACTATTCTTTGGTACGATTGATTCAGTACTCAGACTGTAGCTATTTTTTAACGAAATCATATGCTTTTTTACTAAATCTTTAGTAATTATTTATACCGACCGACGTTGTGGTTATTTATACCGAACGACGACCGAGTGGAGTGGCCTTCAACAGATCAAAGCCTTAAGTACAACTTAAAATTGGGTACGGTAAAATAGGGTGATTAGGGATCGAGAGGTGAATAGAGATAGAAGATGGGTGAATCGATACTATGAAGAATTCCCCCATATCTATTCATCCCATTTTTGGTAGCCTTTCAGTATTCGGGCGTCAGTAGCTAATCACTGGTAGTAACCAGTATAAAAATAACTACACCCGTATAGGAACCAGATGACTTAGGGGCCTGTATATCCAATCTACATAGGTATTTGTTAAACATATTAATTTATGTTATATCTCTTATTTCTGTTAAATTATTATTATTAGTTAATGTTATGTTTTTATAAGACTAAGAATTAGTTAATTCGGTACTAATAGTAATATTATATTCTTTGTATAAATCATTATAATATTTTGTTTACGGAACCAGTAACTGGCCAACTTATGATATATTTTTTTAAATTTTATTTAAAACCTAATTTGTTTTATAATAATTATGGTGAGACATAGCTAATTAACTAAAAATTGTGGGTTACTCACATGAATATATCGAGAAAAGCTCTACTAGTTTCGAGCCACAGAGGGGCTCTTCCTCATGAGCAGCGCGCACGACCGCGCGTGACTAGTAGAGCTCATCTCAGTATATTCACGTAAGTAACCCGCGATATTTAGCTAAAATTAAATTTGTAGTAAATAATGTTTGCAGTGTAATGAGTATACGAAGGGATTTGATAATTAAAAATTCTAACTACTGATACAGTTTATTACTACTACTTACAAGCAATAATCGTAAAAACTATTTGCGATTGGGAATATTCGTTAATCACTACTACCAGCCATTGAAACATAAAAAAGAAAATTTTTGTAATGCTAATGTAAAGAGTAGGTATCTTTTTCATTGTACTTTATTTTCATTAACTTTCTTTTTATTTTTTTTACGTGCTTTTTTTTTCTTTAACACTGAGTAGTTTAAGACGGCATGCTCATAGTTTTTTTTATATATATTTAAGTATATATTGATTGAGCCTTTTTAATAGCTAATGGCACACAAAAAGTAATAAAAAAACAACAAAATCAAGCACAATTCGTACCTCCTTGTCAGGTCCATGTTCAATCCTCGTTGCCAACTGTCGCTTATATAATAAATAATACATATTGTAGTGATCACTATAATTATAAAATGATTTCTCCTTGAACGATACCATCGTTTAGACATTCTCGGTAACTGGAAAAAGAAAAGGTATATATTTTTATATAGTCAAACACAGTCCTTTTATAATAACTATAGTGACACATAAATTATCCAAAAACAACGGATAATTCACGTGAATATACTGAGAAAAGTTCAACTAGTTTCGCTACACAGAGGGACTCTTCCTCGCGAGCAGCGTGCGCGTCGTCACCGAAACTTGGTTATCATTTAGTATGTTAGCCTGTTATATGTTATCAAATCAGGTCATAATGAAACATAAGCAATTTTAATATTTTATATTAAGCCAAGTTAAGGAAAAAATCGTGAGGAAACCTGGGCTTATAATTTCTAATTATAAGTTTAAAATCGCGAACCCACATTGAGCAAGCGTGGTGATTAATGCTCAAATCAAATCTTCGCCGTGTGAGAAAAGGCCTTTGGTCGGCAGTGCCCACTTAAAAGCTATTGATGATGATGATGATGATGATGATGATGATGATAATGATGATGATGATAATTGAATAATTCTTTTTGTGTTGGATAATGTATTTATTGAGGAAGGCTATAGGCTATAGAAAATTACGCTACGATCATTAGGAGCTGAGCAAGGCGAGTAGAACTGCGCGAGAGTAACTAGAATATCAATAGTATAAATAATATTGACTAAATGTATACTGTAGTTAAAGAACAATGGCAAGATTATACCTGGATTGTTTTAGAAGCGTCTATAAACGAGAAATATGAAAAACGTAATGAGGTAATTAAATTGCTTTTTATACGATTTTAGTTTCAAACGTAAAAGCCTCAGTATTCATATTGAGAAATAAGTTATTAATTGTATTTATATACGGTGCTAGTTTTGGTTGATGTTTGTTAGAGTTACCATGTATAAAAAAAATATAAAATAGTATTAAGTCAAAAAAAATGTTAAAGTCGTATATAAACCAACAATACCCAAAAATAAATCATTGTAATGTTAACTAACATATAAGAATTGGTTAGATCTGTTATTTTGTGAAAGAAGTCGCGATTTTATATATTTATTTTGATATCACAATCATCATTAGTAGTAATTAAAAGAAAATGTAATGGCAACACTAAGTGGTACTGTCAAATGTCGTAAAAACTTCGTTATTCACAAAGCTTGCTTTGGTATAATATTGTTCTTGTTCTTTTCGTCGTTTTTCGTGAGTTATCTTTAATTTTGACCCTCGCATTACCCCTGGACTTGATTCGCTGCGACTTTATACGACAACTTTTGCTTTCTCACGGACGATCTGCGCTATTAGTACACTATTACTATTGCTTTTCCAAAACGGACTCGATTGTTTCTCAATTCTTTTGTGAAGATGCGAAATAACAGGCTTACACGCATTTTGTGCGGGAATTGCAACATTTGCGTCAATACCCTTCGGCGATATCGGATCTTAGATCAAAACACAAGAGTGTGTACCATGATCTGCAACTGGGTTTATCCACAAATCGTAAGTTTTTAAACTATAATTTATAAGAATATTTCGTAGCTATAACTTTTTACTGGAGAGAAACCATCTTCAAATCGTGTACGACTCGATAATTGACCAGTAATTTATTATTGTACTGCTTGCGACTTCAGTAAGACTGTCTTTATGTTAAACCATTCTATTTGACACACAATAGTTCATTTTAGTCAAAAAAGACACAGTAGCATATTTTCAAAGCTGTGTAAAATACTAGAAAAGTTATGGTTTTTCTTATTTTTTAGATTACCGAAGATGATTATGTCTGAAGCATATTGGGAACTGGCTATGGTTGCAGTAAACCACAATTTGCAACAAGATAGTGAGGCTGGACAATATAAAAGATTGTTATAAAAATAATAATATTACTAACTTCTTACACTTCTTATAATAACTTCTTAGATGTTTTGTAACTAACATTATTTTCATTCCGTTGCAGCTAACATCATCTGATAAGGTGTGTCATGCCTGTTGGTTGCGAACTATGAGAGAAGCTCTTCGTATCAACCATGTTGATGAAATGAGACCACCTGAAGCAATGCCCCAAAATGAAAATCTATTACAGGATAATGCAGTTCATCAGAATCCTCGAGCTGCAGACACGGGCCGGTCAATAGAAATAAAAATATTGCCAGATTATAAGAGGGCAGCCAACACTGGTAATTCATTGTGTGCTTTTATTCGCCTTGGGAATGTGTCAAATACGTCAAGCTCGATTGTACTATGGCGAGCATATACGTTTCCATGGCGGATATAGGATTGAAATGTGCAATGAAAATATAAATTCCTCTGAATACAATTTACGAGGCAGTAAAGAAACGATTTTAATAAGAGGAAAAATAAAATCGCGTCACATTTCTAGGAAGCAGTGCTATGTTTATATTTTAATTAATAATAGTACCGGCAGATCCAGTATAGTTAGTGGAATACTGCTGTAACTGTTTGGTTGGTCGGCGTACTGTAGTTTGTTGCGCACACGTGGTGGGTCACCACGTGTGCGCAACAAACTATAGTTCGTGTGGTATCTTGGATGGGCCAGGCATCAGAACAATTTATCAGCACCGGCAGGGTTCCTAGACGATATAGTAATACGAGAAGATGAATAAATGGTTTAAAATCTTGAAACCTGTTTTATTTAACCCTTAAATGCTGTTATTCATATTTCCTTATAAAAGCTTACCTTTTTGGCAGGTTTTTTTTTAAGGGGGGATAATCATCGAATTACTGCTCACGCCTGTGTGAGGCGGAAGGGAGTGTCAGACTCTTACTGACTAAAAACCAACCCGTTCTTTCTCCTGCACGTCGAGCCGGAGCCCCGGTTACCCGTTAGGTTCTCCGCCACTGTTATAACTGTGATAGTTTTAATATTATCACGTTTTAACGTGGACTTGAATCAATCTAGGTATACCTAACGATGTTTTTTTCACATCGCATTTCTTATTTTTGCATCAATGCATTAGGTACATTAAGTTTTGTAGTCTACGAAGTTACTTTTACAGTGACATAACCTCAAAATATAAAAATGTTAATATCTTTTTTTTATAGCCTTCTTAAATTAAAATTCTTGATGATTATGCTTTAGTAATAGATCCCCTATGATTTTAACATTTTTTCGGACATAGACGCTTCAAACGGGTTACAGGTAAAGTGTACATATGGGAACTTGCCATTGTTCTTTATACTCAGAAATTTTGGAAAAACCGAAAAGATCCTAATAATATTTGTCCCGACCTGAGTGACCTGAGACCGATATGGAAAGAAACGCGGGGAAAAACCAGAGATAATTGCACAAATTAAGTAGGTATGTGAAAAATATTACTTCAATTCACAATATACTACTGCGCGACATGTGTGTGACGTATCGTAATATGTTTAATATATATGTATAATATTATTACAAACCACATGTTAAAATATGTGAGCCTATCAGTGCAGTGTGACGGTTATCGTGTTAGTTTTAATTTACATGAAATCAGATGAACAAAAACTAGCAGTCGACTAGCGGCCGAAATTAATAAATTATCTCAATCTGAATTTTTAACCTTTAAAAAAGTGGTCTCAGTTTAACTTGGATGTATGTATGTTTGTGCGTGATCTCGCGATTGGCTGAACAGATTTTGATGCGGGTTCCAGAAAAGGATTTGTTATACTTAGAAGGCTTTGGTATATTATTTACCGACTTCAAAAGAAGGGAGTGGGGATTGAAGTCGGTTTTTTCAAACGTAGTTTATAAATAAAAGAATAGTTAACTATACTTGTATTGAGTTTCTGTTAACAAAAACCGATCTTATCCACACATTTTCGATTGATATGGGTTATTATTAGCTACGAGTGATGAAAGAAAAAAGAAACACAATTTGCCCTCATCAAGTACGAAACAAGTTTATTTTACACCGACTTCAAAAAAAAAACGAGGAGGTACTATGTTTGTTCGGCTGATTGTTTGTTTTTTTGTTTGTTCACCGATTACTCTGCCATTTGTGAACCGATTTACAAAATTTTTGTTTTGTTTGAAATGTTATACTCCCGAAAGAGTCCCATTTCCATGAGGTCAGGGTCTGACGGTGGAATCCTAGGGAAATCGAGGGAAACTTTCGAAAATTGTAATGCGTCTATTATGTTTTTCAATAGGAATTTTTAAACACTACAATTTGATAAGGGTCTGGAGTCGACCTGATGATGGAGCCGACAGACAGTCGAGGGAACTCCTCAACGGTTTATATTAACTACCTTGTGTTTGGGCTTGATTCATTCTTATTGACGAGAACTTTACACTTAGATGGAGAGGAATTGTCATTAAGGGTCTGATTATAAAGAATTGTAATTGTTAAGGGAACTTCTTAACGGTATACAGTAAATACCTTATGTTTGGGCTTGATTAATTTGTATTGATGAGAACTTTGCACCTATGTGGATTAATAAATGAGACGTAACACTGAGCACAATCCGGGCGAATAACAACAGCAAAATGCAATTAAACACTTTATAATTAATAAAAAAGAAAGAAACAATAAAAATCTTACCAAAGTAATTTTTAATAATTAATATAAATCTTCGTTTATAATATGAGATTTCAGTTTTTCTTCCAGATCTTTTATTTCATTACAACAGGCTTCAGTTGTTTGGGTACAATCCTGAAAAATAATAAAAAGAATATTTAAGCAGTATATACATTACAAAACAAACTTAATTGAGCGGCTCAATCCCTGGGCCTAATAGGGTAGTAGAAAAACTAGACAGTTGATTTTTTTTAAGGGGGGAAAATCATCGAATGACTTCTCCCAAACTAGACAGTTAGACAGTGTATGAGAATGTTATTAGTCCGTCAGTTAGATAATGAAAAAATATTACTTGACACATATTTTTTTATTTTATCGTATAAGTAAACAACAGGAGTGGAAGGAGGGTAGGGAGGTCTTGCCATGCAGTGGGAGTTGGTACGATCATGGCTGAAAATTAATAATAAATAAATAAATAAAATAAGTAAACAACACTTAGATAAAACAGAGTTAAGTTTAGGAGTGGGAGGTCGTTACGGCACCCTACCCTATATAATGTAAATAGTGACGTCACATGATATTTCAAATCAATATACTATCGCTGAAAGTATTTAATATTGTAAGAAAAGAAAAAATACGCGTCTAATGTTTTAAAACAATCTACCAGACGGACATTTAAATAAAAAATAGTATACTACCCTATTACTGTACTAAACTCAAATATCAAATATAAGTTTGTCTAATATAAGGTTGCCCGCTGTGGACCTTACGCTATAGGTAACTGTAGGGCCGATCGCGATGGTAGAAATTAGCTTCAACCGCCATAGTAAATGTAATATGTGAGTTCGTGTGTATGTTTATTACTCAGTCACATCAAAACATATATATAGTAGGTATAACACATACTTGCTATGTCCTGCTTGGGTTATAGTGTACCTACCTATATGTTAAGGAAAAAAAAGACTCCCATCATATTAAATATGATAATAATAGAAATAGTTTGAAAAATGAGCGTCTCTCGCCATCAAACGTTAAAGTTTGGCGAGTTTAGATTTAAGGCAATACCTATGTAAAATTTCAATGAATAAATTTGTTAACAAAAAAAAAAACCGCTGATCGGACCGGGATGAAATTTGGAACAGTGGTAGATTATAGTCTGAAGTACCTAAAATACATAGGCGATTTTTCACATCTGGGAACGCGAGCGAAGTCGATGGCAGAAGCTATTGTTAATAAAAATATCACGTATTACATAATCTGTAGCTCATTAGAACTATTCCAAGTATTATGATAAAAAAATAAACTTATCAATGAAACAATAGCAGTGTATTGACTTACTATTAAAGGTAATAAATGTCGTAAAAGGTACAAAAACGAGATGGGATAATAACACCTATTATTATTTAGTAGTAGAGTTCATTTTTATACAATGGTGGCCAAAAGTGCGGCAAAAATCCCATAGTCCTTAGTTTTTTCCCCAAAATATTTATGCTCTTGAAGGTAAGTACAAATGGATATTAAGAGTAGATTTGAAAATTTACTGGCACAAATAAATCAAATACCTAATTATAAGAAGTAGGAAAAAAATACCAAGTAGGTATAATGCTATCCCAGCGTGGGCCTCTGAGCGGCGGGTCCTGGTTGCCAGGATCGGGCGAGCCCTGTCTCTGCCAGCGTAGATAAGGCTATACTGGCACATACAGAAAACTGTAGGAAAGTGGCCTCCTTTTGTGAGACTGTAGTCTGTAATGCCCCAAAAGGAGGCTGATGAGCGGGATCGCGTGTGGGCCGATCCTGCTCGTAGAAGGCGTCGAGGAGTCAATCGCTTCGCTTAACACGCCACAATTCCACTTGCATAAATTGCAGGCGGACCTTTGGGGCCACGGGTGCATAGAGTGGGGACTTTAGGTGCCCATCCAGTGGCCTCAGGGAAGACGGTAGCACAGTGCCGCAGTGCAGTCACGTACTGCCGTGCAAAGCGATGGTCAAGGGAAACGCATGTCTCCCTAGGAATGTGACAGGTGTGTAATAGGCGTTGCACCGTGAGGGCTTCAAAGTAGGTCTCTTCAGAGGACCCGGTAACTTTTATAGTTGCTGAGGATGGCCACCGGGATGGTTTTAGTGAGGTACGAATCCCACACTCCCTAGTCTTACTCCCCAAAAAGCTAAACGCCTTTAAAGGTTCGTCATCATAAATAAAGTACAATGCTATATTTAAAATTGAACCGCTCAAATGTATACAATAAGTGCGTGCATAGATTCCGAATAGTCATTCACGACAAACTGGATAGCATTTTTTGTCGTGATTAGTCATTACAAGGTTCCGACTATGAATACTGAGAAACGGCAACCGAGCGAATTCCTAATCTATACTACCTAATATTATAAAGAGAAAAGATTTGTACCTATTTTTGTATGTTTGTATGTTTATAATGAATAGGCTCAAAAAGTACTGGGCCGATTTAAAAAATTCTTTCACCAATAGAATGCTACATTCTACCAATTTGACATAGGCTACATTTCATTTTCACAAAAATTAGGGATCCTTGGTAAAATTTGAACAATGTAACCGAAGGTGTAGAAAAATGAGTCTTAAAATGTTTTTCGTCGAATGCGCTGCCGAAACTATTAGCGATAGAACAAAATAATGTACAACAATATTGAAGAACATCATAATGTCTATAAAAAACTCTGCGGTAGCATATGTCCAACTATTGTAGTTATGTCACTACAACAATCCAAATTTCCAAAAATAAATAATTGTCTACCCCGTGCGAAGCCGGGACGGGCTGCTAGTTCATTATTCGTAGGTACAAATGCTAACAGGTACCGCTACGCCAAACTGAATTTTCTTTATATCAAAACTAGCTACTTCCGGGCGGTTTCACACGCTCTGCTCAGCTCCTATTGGTCGTAGCGTGATGTTTTATAGCCTATAGCCGTCCTCGATAAATGCGCTATCCAACACAAAAAGCATTATTCAAATCAGAATTGTTGTTACGGAGATTAGCGCGTTCAAACAAATAAACAAGAAAACAAACTCTTCAGCTTTATAGAATTAATTAGCTCCTCCCCGCGGTTTTGCCCATGTTGTCGTGGAAAAAATTTCTGAGATATCTGGCATCATAGGATAAGTGTATGTTTGTCACTCAATCTCGTCAAAACGGCTGAAGAGATTAAGATGAAATTTGGAACAGAGGTAGCAATCTACCTCTGTTCCAGGTCTGGAATAACACATAGGCTACTTTTTACCCCACGGAAATGCGAACGAAGCCACGGGCAGAAGCTAGTATGTTATAAATAGTTGTATCTATGTGTGTTGAATTGGAATATTAATATTGGCTATAATTATAAATTACTCAATAGTTTTTTAATAATTAATTTGAAGAGGAATTAGTTATTCCTCTTATTTCGGTTAGATAGTAATAACAATACTGTTATTAGATAACACGATGCGATATGGTTTCCGGTGCACGGAAATAGGGTCACTATAATATCATTTTTTATAGTAGAACGTTTGGCTGTGGCATAGTTAATTAGTTACCTACTATATCGTGTGACTGAGGTTCCCCTCTCCAATCTCCAGTGGCGTGCACAGGGTTTTAGAACAGGGTAGGCAACATAATATTGTATTATGATTAAACTCATCGTAAATACATAACATAATTCAACTTATGAGGTTTTTAATCTTTCGTCAATTCTTTGTAACAGTGCCATCTCTCGTTGTTTTCGTGAAGTATTACATCAACTTATTGATTACTCTAACAACTTAAAAACATTAATATTCTATTTTTCTCTTTAGATTTGTAAAACTAATCTGCATAATTACCTACTCGAGGTGCTGTATAACGATTAATCTAATTTATGTTATCAATTCAGTAGCAGTAACGAATTGTTCATTCTAAAAATTGTACTGAACTGGCGGCCTGTCCAGCCTTCTCACGTTTAATACAAGAATATTACGAATTCTTTACTCTTTTAATTTAATTCTTCGAATTAATAAGTTTGGTTCATCTATTCAAGAGATATTATGATTTTAAGAACTTGGGTATGACTAATAGAAAAATCGAACCGAGCGCGGCCGGCTGCGGCCGAGCCGAGTAAGCGGTAGTACATTTTTTAGTATTATTAAACATTCATTTACCTAGCTTATTCTTCTTCATTTCATTTTATAATTAGTACATAACATATTACTTAAAGCTTCGTTATTTTTACTGACTGAGTTGCCGCGACGGGAAGCTCCGCGTAGGTACCTACTTATGTTACATAACCTAATCACATTAAAATAAAGTAACTTTCATAGAACTTACCAAGACAAGACTATCAGAAGAAAAACTCACACACAATCTAATCACTAAGCGATGGTCTGCGATAGTTTATAATTCTTTACCAACTTTTGTCAATACAAACTTCACAGTTCTTCGTATAACTTTGCAAAATCAATTAACAAATAAACAAACACAGTAATAAAATGTACTTATATAAATAGACAATTTTATACCGTTTACTACAAATTATTTGCGTAGAATTACTAATCGTATTCTAAATCAAATAACAAAATTATCCGAAAATCCACGCATCGCACGTAAACAAAAACAAAAAAATTGTCACGCGCGAGCGGCGTGAAGTTCGCTGCGAGGCGACCAATGAGTAAACCAAGACACGCAACGTGATTGGTCGGCACGCAGCGAACTCAATCACGAGTCGTCAGGCCGTGCCTGCAGGCAAGCTTCGCGACGATAAAATAAACGCGTCTGTGCACTACGCACACAATGACGTTCACCACTACACGCTTAAATTTATGAATGGTTTGCAGGCGACGGAACCGCGTGCCTGCCTCGCGCGTTAATGTTTACAGCTATATACGGTACGCCTGGCGAAATGCAACACGTATCGCGCGCCATCATTGTTGCTATACTATTTATTTTAGGCGTTCACTAATTTTATTATAATTATTATTTTAGTATTCTGTAGTAAAATTAAAATGTTTATATCTTTTATTACGTAGTGTTATTCACGGTATTTGTAAGGTAGGCAAAGTCTTTTTGCCTATATGGACTGCACGCCACTGCCAATCTCCCCAATTCCCGAATCCTCCACAATCCTCCAATTCCCAATTTCCAAAAGGCCTCTGC